CTTTGTGTCAATGTGCTGTAGAATTTACCATTTTTTGCAAAGGACCAAATGAAAGATTTTTTTTTAACAATGACCACAATATCATTATTTGAATAAACCAAATATGAACAATTGAGGAAAATGAGGAAGAACTGATGATTCAAATGTTGTAGTACAAGTAGTGATGTAGTTAGTGCATACATTACTATTGCAACATCGATTTCTTTTTTTGGACGAATGCTCCGGGCCAGTGGTTACAATGGTGGGGCCAGTGATAATATAATGCCAGTGGCATTTTACCCTTAATGTCTACCTCTGCGGTAAGTCACGAGCACCGCGGTGGGCCGGCGGTACCGAAGTGGGCCGGTCGAGAGTCCCGGGCTGATTTGTAGTCCCAGTCCGCCCCTGCATTAAACTCTCATGTAATTGTCTGTCCAGGAATCCAAAATACTGTTACCATATCATTTAATGGTGCATAAAATGGAAATTAACAACAAAATGATATATTAAGGTACAATTAAATTACAAAACCACCAACAATCGGCACGTCTCTACCACTAAAGTTTAATGTTTTTTTATCACAGACATAGTCATTTATATTGGCTTAGCTTTGCACATCGTGAAATACCTTTTTAAATGTGTATTTTTCAGGTTTTAAGGGTCTGTACGGAGACATGGACAGAGACGCTCTGTGTCACGTGCCTGACAGCGACTGCCTCTCCCTGGGGGACTCCTCTCTGCTCACCCCCATCGACCGCCTCTACTCCATGCAGGACTCTTACTTCACCTCCTGAGGGTGGAGATCGGACTCAGAGAGAAACGGTGTGTCTCCCTCATCCCTTTGTTCCCGCACCGTGCACAAGAAAGTAGAAGAAGTGGTTGCAAAAGGGAGACGTGGGTACACTGACACCATGCAATATGCAACGTGCATGTCCATTTAAACACGATTACACCACTGCCTCCAATGCTTTACAATCTGTACGACACATGCAGGCTCCTGTGTATGCACGACGCGGACCGCTCTGTTTGATTATTAACCGCATCCACTAATGTAAATAACTGTTTGTGTGTATTTATTCTCACAATGTGTGTATGCTGTTTATCTTGAATGAATCAACAATGATCAATAAATAATGGTTATACGTTACGATTATTGTCAGATCGAGTCTAACATTTCACAAAAGCTCCATTTGCAACATCAACAGAGATAGATATTTAATTAAGAGAAGAAACAAGGGAACAACATTCAACAAAACATCACGGTCACTGTAGAGAAACATGCTCAAGACCCTCTAACGTACATTTCACCTGGGATTTAGCTCTTTGTTTAATGTCAGCATTGTCTGGTGCTCAAAATAATGCTTCAGTCTAACCTTACAGTATTAAATGATGGGACCCTGTATCTCCGATTTGATGGTAATAATTAATATTCACTGTTCAGGACATGGTTAGGGTCAGCAATGATGTTGATACTTTAAGATACAGTGAATGTGTCAAATATGGTGCTGATTAACGATGAAGATGGACTGAAAAAACTGAAACATTGACTTTAATTAATATAGGTCAACAGATTTCACATATCTGTTTTAGGTAACTTAAAATCATTAATATTACGGTTTTTTATTGCTTTCAACGAACCAAATACAGCTATATGAAATCTGTTGACAACACATTGAATTAAAGTCAATGTTTAATTTCTTCAGTGTGGTGCACAAAGGAATGCTTCAGTGAGACCTTGCTAAATTGCGGGACCCTGTATCTTCGATTTGTTGCAATTCATATTCTCTGTTCAGGTCATGGGTTCAGAGATGCTGTTGATAATGTATGAGACAGTGAATGTGTAAAATGTGGGGCTGATTCACGATGAAGATGGGGTATTCATGCTGAGGGTTAGCGCCGGGTCAGTCCGTCCTCGGTGCTTATCAATCCGATCTAGGTGACAGGTCAGCGAGGCATCTTCCCCCCCCCCCGACTGTTGGGTGGATCATCAGATTGTGAAACGCCGGGCTATGACAGCTGTATGGGTCAGTGGCAGGTAACCATCACATCCACGCCGCCATCATCAACGCTCACATTGTGCTCCTCGCGGTCAAAGGCCTTCGCTGCATTTTTCTGCCTTTTCCTTCCTCACAGTCATACAGGAGTGGAGGGGAGGAGGGGGACCACCCAGGCTCTGTGGCCAGCTGGAATGCACCGATCCTGGGGAGGGAGGTTGAGAAAACCCTCCAGACAACGGAGGGGCTGAAAGCTGTGTCAGGGGAGAATGCCCAGGGTGACACAGAGATATGAAGCCCCACTGTATGGAGTGCCTCCTTGCCCCAGCCGTGAACCCTCTCCTGGACCCTTCTCATATTTCCCACTATGAAATCAGACCTCTCCGAGCAGAGAGCGCAAGTCAATGGTCAGGAACAATCTAACTGTCTGTCACCGCGGTATGCTCCTGCCAAGCAGCGCTGCAGAAGTGTGCAGCAGAGTATACACAGTGTGTGTTTCTCTGCTTTTGTATCTGTGTCTGTATCTGCTAGTGTCTGCTGGCCAGAGGTGGGAAGTACTCAAGTACAAGTACCTCAACATTGAACTTCAGTACAGTACACTGAACAAACTGTAACGTTGACTTTAATTCAATGTATTATGTCAACAAATTTCACACAACTGTATTAGGTTAGTTAAAGGCATTAATATCAAGTTGAACCTAATTTGTTATTCAAACGTAATATTATTGCTTTCAACAAACCTAATAACATTATGTGAAATGTAAGTAGAATATTACGGTACATTACTTGAGTATTTCCATTTAGTGCTTCTTTATACTTCTACTCCGCTACATTTTAAAGGGAAATAATGTAATTTTACTAATTTATTAAATATCTTTAGCTACATTTAAAAAAAGAAAATGCATCTCCAAAAACTAAACTGGTGGATTAACTCTTTTTGAGTCACAAGTCAAATTGTATAAAAAGTCAATATGAACTTGGTTTGTCGTAACATGTCACATATATGCATATAATTATAAACACACTTAAAGGCAGTTTTTCTTCACCATGATTACTTTTACTTTTTATAATTTAAGTACATTTTTCTGGTAATACTTTTGTACTTTTACTTGGGTAAGATTAAGTAAATACATGACTTTTACTTATAATGAAGTATTTTGAGAATAATATTAGATACTTTCACTCAAGTAAAGCATCTGAATACTTCTTCCACCTCTGCTGCCGGTGTGTGTGTGTGCAGGTGGAACAACTCTCTTTGTTCCAAGGACTGAAGTATCATAATGTACTTCCTTGTGTCTTCAGATAAAGAGAGGCTTACATATGAGGAAATGAAGCCACTGCCCTTCTTCCCCTTCTTGTGTGTGAGTCTGTGCACAGTTGGCACGTGTGCATGGTTGCCAGCAGCAGTGGGTGGGATGTGAAAAATAATCAAACCGTGATCATACGGTCACAGCGGGTAGCAATAACCTCATTATTATTCTGACGGTAGCCAAACACTTTCCTGTCGACAGTGTGGTTATTTATTGCACCCTTCATGCCAACCACGGGCCACAAACCCTCTGTCTTTTAACCGCTATAATTGGCTTCATGCTGTTGCAGCGCCAAAACAGATGCACACGCTTTGCTGAAGACACTCCATTGGCCATTTGCAGCTCATATTAAGAGTCCGGGGGTATACTTTTGGCACAGATGCACTGGGAAGACTCAATTCAGTAGATACAGCCATATGGAAGAATATCGATACAATCCAGACAATGGATTTACAGCTAAATTAGTAAATACAACATGTACATCAGCCCTATTTGTCTACTCTACAACATGTGAGAGGTTCATGTTAATCCAGGATACTGTACTTCGGGCCGGGGGCAGTGTATTGTCCCTAAATGTTGGATTGGTGCCCAGTGTGACACATTGAGCGGACACTGATAATAGATCACTTTCTCACCATTCAGTGACACCAGCTTTCTGGACACTAAATGTGCTAATTTGACACTTTGTGGCAGTCTGGTAATCTCAAAGGTTTTCTGTCACTTCCTAAATTGACCCCTCAGTATTAGTTCCACTATGGGAGGTCACATGTGGGCAAACTGAGCTTTTAGGGAGGGCACCAGCAACACAGGGTCAACCCATTCAGCACCAATAAACATGGACATGGATAAAGAATCACAGCCTCCTGAGCCTCCTGTGGGTCATCATGAGTGGTCATCTATCAATCAGAGGGTCGAGGTTTCGATACCTGATCCTTGCAGTCTACAATTCAAAGTGTCCTTAGGCAAAATACCAAACTCCAATTTGCTCCAGATGTATGTAAATGTACTGAAACATAATAAGTAATCAAGTTGATGGTATTGCCTTTGCCACCAGTGTATACATTGTTTGTGTGAATAGGTGAATGCCGGCATGTGCTGTAACTTAGCTTTGAGTGTTCACTAGGACTAGAAAAGTGATCAATATCCCATTCATCTTTTATTGTGAGGTATTTGGTGAGTCAAAAGAGACAATTCAAAATAGTTTATTGTCAATCAAGCAATATACAAAGCAAGACAGAGAGAAAAATATGCCCATTGACTGTATTTTGTGTCATTAAGAACATGAGAGGGTTTTCATGCAGAATGCGTATAATTAGGGATTAGGGATTTAGGACTTTCATTGACAACAACTCCACTATATTGTGCTTTTGCAAATGAAGTCTTTGAATCTTAAATGATCTAATTTTTATTGAGTGGAAATTGTAATAACCCATCAATTCAAAGCTCTATTCCTACTATGTGCAATTTCTTGGTTCCAGTGTTGTATTTTAAACAAGCTTGATGTATTGATTGAGAGCATTAGGCTAAAGAATTTGAAATGATTAGAAAAATCAGGAGTCAAAATCAAATGCTGGGTTCTCTCTGTCTCCCCATGCTGGTGCTTCAGACATCATGTTATGTCCTGCAAAGATCAGAAACAGGAATAAACTGTGAGTGCTACAACATGCTCCATACGTGAAACTGTACAGCAGCATTTCAGTCGGTCTCACCACTTTTTTTTCTAAATCTCATTATGATCAACACAGCCAGTCCAATCAGGACCAGCGCCACGACCACTCCGATACCTGAAGACAGCAGCAAGGCAGCCCACACTGGTAGATCCTCTACAGAGACAAATATCAAGTATCAAAAATCACAGTTTCTAACATTTTGTATTTATTCCTAACTAATGTTTTCTTGATCAAACTGCAATATCCCAACACGACACATCACAGTCAAAGTTTGTTCAGGTATTCATTTTGGTGAATCGCCTCACTTTCCCTCTGGCGCCACCATCAGGTGAATGTGTAAACTTTCACAGTTCGCTTTTTAACCTCTATCCGATTGGCGCATGACAGAATGGACATTTATGATTGGCAGGAGGGCTGCTCAATTAATCGTATTTTAATCGCAATTACGATTATGGCTTGCAATGATTACGAAAACAACGTAATCTAAATAAAACGATTATCTTTTTTCAAAGTAAATGGATAATCGTTTTTAATAATCCTGATATCAATTATTGACCCAAATAATCGAGATTATGATTTTTGCCATAATCGAGCAGCCCTAATTGGCAGATGATGTATTCTTATGAATTGTGTGTCTTATTTTCTCTAATGCCACAATGAGGCTGGGTTTTTAATTGAACTATATAAATAACTGTTATGCCCCCCTCAGGAAGATCATATTTGTTATCCTTTAATTGTTTATTTAACGCCACCGGATACAAATCTTAATACAAAAATACACAAGACACGTGACCAATGTTTGAGTTTAAGATCAAATTCCTGCAAACCCGATTACATTTAGCAATCTGTAATTTGAGTGCACTGTTAATAAAGTGTTGAAAATCAGCATGTTTGCATGTTCATCACAGACATCAATCTAATTACCTGTGCAGTTTGGCCGGCTGTCGTTCCAAATCCCAGAGGAGGAGCAAAACAACAGCTCAGTGCCATTCATGGAGAATCCCCCTTCACAGGCAAAAATACACTGAGAGCCAAAGCTGAAGTTCCCCAGAGGATGGGAGCAGTTCATAGACAGGGATCCAAACAAGGCAGGAATAGCCTCACACTGTAACGCTGAGATAAAAAATATAGAAATTGTATGTCATGTCAGTTGTTGGATAACCAGAACAGCAAGAGTGAGTTAAGTTAAGCACTCACGCTGGCAGCTGGGTGGATCCTGACGCCAGTGTCCTGAGGTATTGCATGTCATAGTTGGTGTTCCTCTCAGCCAGAAGCCCTCATTACATTCAAAGTCACAGCTGGAGTCATAGCTGAAAGAGGAGTACGGATGGCTGCAGTTCATCCTCCCGTGATGTGGGGCCTTGTCCAGTAGGGGGCATGGCCGTGCTGCAGATAGCAACCAAAAATATGAGTTCCAGAACAAATAAGGCAAATAAAGTGCTCAGCTCTCATATGATTTATTACCCAGGCAGTGGGATAATTCAGTGCTCCACGTGCCCAGAGAGGTGCACTCTGTGTCAGCCGTCCCATTCAGCAGAAAACCCTCCTCACATGTTGACGTGCACCGAGAAGTGAAACTGAACTCTCCATGAGAATCAGAGCAGACTAAGGAGCCATGAGAGGGAAAGCTCAGGGGGGGACATCTTTTAGCTGGAGGGGTAGAGAGCAATACACCAAATGATTTAAATAGAAACTATAGTCAAGAGAACACAACCATTAAATGAAGATTCCTCCAATACAGGACAATTAACAGATTTTCATTCAAAGATGTATGATATACCTAAGCAATGTGGGATATCTGTGCTCCACGTGCCCAGAGAGGTGCACTCTGTGTCAGCCGTCCCATTCAGCAGAAAACCCTCCACACAGGTTGACGTGCACCGAGAAGTGAAACTGAACTCTCCGTGAGAATCAGAGCAGACTAGGGAGCCATGAGAGGGAGAGCTCAGAGTGGGACATCTTTTAGCTGAAGGGGTAGAGAGCAATACACCAAATACTTAAAAAAACAAACACAGTCAAGAGACCTTAACCATTAGATTAAGGTTCGTTTCTACAGGTGACAATTAACAGATTTTCATTCAAAGATGTATAATATACCTAAGCAACGTGGAATTTCTGTGCTCCACGTGCCCAGAGAGGTGCACTCTGTGTCAGCCGTCCCATTCAGCAGAAAACCCTCCTCACAGGTTGACGTGCACCGAGAAGTGAAACTGAACTCTCCATGAGAATCAGAGCAGACTAAGGAGCCATGAGAGGGAGAGCTCAGGGTTGGACATCTTTTAGCTGGAGGGGTAGAGAAAAATATAGCCAAATAATTAAAAAAGAAACTGCAATCAAGAGATCTTAACCATTAAATGAAGGTTCCCCCAACAGATGGCAATTAAAAGATGATCATTTAAAGATGTATAATATACCTAAGCAACGTGGAATTTCTGTGCTCCACGTGCCCAGAGAGGTGCACTCTGTGTCAGCCGTCCCATTCAGGAGAAAACCCTCCTCACATGTTGATACACACTGAGAACCAAAACTGAACTCCGCATGAGGATCAGCACAGACTAAGGAGCCATGAGAGGGGGAGCTCAGGGTGGGACATCTTTTAGCTGGAGGGGTAGAGAGCAATACACCAAATACTTTTCAAAAAAAAACACACTCAAGAGATCTTAACCATTAAATTAAGGTTCGTTCAACAGATGGCAATTAACAGATTATCATTTAAAGATGTATAATATACCTAAGCAATATGGGATATCTGTGCTCCATGTGCCCAGAGAGGTGCACTCATTGACAGCCGTCCCATTCAGAAGAAAACCCTCCTCACAGGTTGACGTGCACCGAGAACCAAAACTGAACTCTCCATGAGAATCAGAGCAGACTATGGAGCCATGAGAGGGGGAGCTCAGGGTGGGACATCTTTTAGCTGGAGGGCATCAGAGAGAGGGAAAGATTAGCAATGTTTTGAATTTCATGTGGTGAAGTGGTACAGGGGAAGAAATTACAACAACAGATTTACCCGAGCATTGTGGGATGTCTGCACTCCAGACACCCTGGGAAGTGCACTCAGTGCTGTTGGTCCCATTCAGAAGAAAGCCCTCGTCGCAGGTTGTCTTGCACAGAGACCCAAAACTGAACAGTCCGTTTGGGTCGGAACAGGATAGGGAGCCATGAGGAGGATTTATTGGGTCACACCTCTTAGCTTGAAGATATACAGAGACAAGAGAGAGATGGATTACACAAACTTGTTTTCAATTTAAGGTGAAAGAGAAAAAAGAACAGACTTAATCACGTACCCTGGCAAACAGGAAGTGCATGACTCCAGTTTCCCTGGGCAGAACATTTCGTCATGTTTCCACCAATCAGATCAAATCCTTCTTCACATAGCACGGAGCATATTGAGCCATAGCTGTTCACTCCTGGGTCCTGACATCGCATGGAGGCATGAGGTGGAGCCTTTAAACTGTTGCATTGCACCACTGCAGAAGAAGAAATCTTATCAATCATCAGAGCAGTGTACATTTTTTGTTCTCAGGACGATTTTGATGCTTTCTGGGAGCCCTGACATAATTTCTGTGACCCACCTGTGCATGTAGGTGTAGGGTTGCTCCATTGTCCCGAGGCCAGACAGGTGTATGTGTCGTCTCTGGTCAGGTAGTAGCCTTCCTGGCAGGTGAAGTTGCATCGTGAACCAAAAGAGAAAGGCTCCACAGCGTCCACACAGGTCACATTGCCCGAGACAGGAAAGAAAGCGGGGGAGCACCTTTTTACTGTGGGTGGGATATAGATACAAATCAGGCCACTCAATGGAAATCAATGCTCTTATGAAACACATGTATTGTGACTCCACTTATATAAACATAGCAAAAGCATGAGGTGGGAGAATGATTTCTTACGTAATGTACAGACAAAGGAAACGATAACTTCCCACCCAGACTAAATTACAATGCTGTTTTCTCAATGCTGGCGAAAATGAGTGTGAAGTAAAGCGATAACATGTGCGACCTGAATCTGATCCGCAGTGCAGTCTGGACAGGATGTGACTGCACTTTGAGGCCAGCTATGTATAACCAAAATGTGGCTGTAAATCTATTAGCAAGAGTCAAGTATTACACAATAGGAAATCACATGAAAAGTGGCAGCTACGGAGAATTTCACAAAACATATTCACCTTCCTAACCTTCAATTACTAGAGTTTAAGACAGGTAACAGGCTAGTTTAAAACATGATTGGGGGTATATTTAAAAGGTGATGACTTTACCTGTACAATCTTGGACTATGGATGTCCACTGGCCGTTGTGGTGGCAGCGTATCTGGTCCGGTCCACGGTGCTCGTAGCCTTCATCACACCGGACCTCGCAGACGGACTTGAAGCTGTACGGGGCGATCGGGTGGCTGCAGTTCTTGATGCTGCTGTGGTTCAGGAATGGACACTGTTCAACTGAGACAGGAAAGGAACAATATTTTAATTGTGTCTTTGACATTGGAAATCACATTTGTTTTTTGTTTGTCCTTTTGACATTTTAAAACGTTTTCTTTCCCTGTGTCTTGTCTGATTTCACTTCCTATGTTTGTGTATTTTCCCACCTGTTTTCAATGTAAGTCCATCTTTATTACTTCCACCTGTTTCTCAATAACTCTGCAACTAGTTGACCCCTCCTTTATCCAGTTCTGCTTGTATTAAGCTCCTGTTTCTTTTGTTTAGTCTTTTTCAGATTTGTGTACATCGGGCAACATGTATTAAGATAAGATAAGATAGTACTTTATTTATCCCAATTTGGGACATTTTTGTGTTGCAGCATAAAAAGACATGGCATTGTACAATACAAATTAAAAAAAAAGAAATAAAAATGAAAGTAGAAAATAAAAAATGTTGAATTTACAAATGAACAATAACAAGATATAAAGCAAGGTATTATATATACATAAGTATGTGACAGATGGAATATTAAACATTAAACTGATGTATAAATGTAGAGTGTCTGTTCTGCTTTTTTTGCCTTGCCTTTTTTTGTACCCAACCTTTTAAATAAAGGTATTTTCTTTTAAGTCTTCCTGCCCTCAGCATTGGGTCCACCCTGCTCCACTAGCTGGGACAGTTTTGACATTGTTGGACCCCAGTTGTACCTTGACACAGAGGAACAGGGTGGGTCCACAGTCCACTGGCCTGGCACAGCAGAGGGGACTCGCCCACCATGCGAAAGCCGAGATCACAGAAGAAACGGCAGGAAGAGTTGAAACTATTTGACCCGTAGGGACGGGAACAGTTGCTGGAAGCTTGTTCTGGGTCCAGCAGGGGTTTGCACGCGATTGCTAAAGAAGAAAAACAATATATCTTTAGACAGTTTATTATACTCAGAGTAAAAGGTTATGCGTGGTTTAAAGTTTTGCTCACCCTCTTCACAGCGTGACCCCAGGAAACCAGGATGGCACTGGCAGGAGTAGTTACCCACCGTCTCCACACAGTCTGCATTGGCACTGCAGGACTCTGGTTTACAAGAGGCTGCGTACAGAAAGACTACTTAGCACACGTGTATAAAGTATCAAGCATCCCGTGATTGTATTTCATTAATAGGTCGTTTTATTATTGTGTATTCAAACTTATGCATTATTTGTATTTGGATTTAGAAAAACAATTAGAAATCCTGAATTTGTCGAACAACTTATATTGTTAAAGTAAAGGGTAGGTGCAGATAAAAAGCAAAAATAAAATGAATAGATTATGATTTAAAGAAGAGCAAGCACACGTTGATGAAATCAAATCCAATAAGTTCACAGACATTTCAAAAAACACAAAAAACACAAGTATCAGCATTGTAAAAATAACATCTTGTTGCTGTTACAAATAATTTCTGCATTTGCAGCATTAATCTCACATGCTACAATAAATCTGGAGTCAGTTTATGTGTCAATCATAAATAAATAAATAAATGTAACCTCCATAGCAGACGGTTCCCTTCCTCTTGTGACAGTTCTCGTTGTTCCACTTGGCTGTGTCTTTATCCCTCTTGATGTAAATCTCCACACAGTCCTGAGTGGCGATTTTATCTGGCTCCTCTGCCGCCCAGTTCTGAGCATCTTCTGGCACCTTCTCGTCTGTTTTTTTCCAGACCCACTCTCCCTCCCTTTTGCCTATGCCTATCCAGTAATATTTTGCGTTAAAAGGTAGAAAATCGTTGATGAAGTCACTCTCCTCCTGGTTCCTGATGGGCACCATGTCTGTGAAGTGCTGCTGGCACCACTGACGGGCCTTCAGCCATTCGCGGTTTGAACTGATGTTGAAGTCGTAGCTCCATGCATGCGCTCCTCCTCCGCTGCTCAGGTCTAAGATGAGGTCAAAGGATGATGATACGAAGATTAAACTAGTGAAGAAACAAGAGATACAATAATTTATAAAAGTATGTAAACCTACCTTGGACAAATCCAATGAGTGCAGCTATCAGCAGAATGTGATGCAGGCCTTGTCTGGTATCAACTGATTGTTGAAACATCTGAAATCAAAAGAGTTATTTTCATACTTGCACATAAACGTGAATTAACAACACCGATATATCACAGGTCTTACCTTCATATCTGTCTTCACTCAATCTTGTTGTTACATTGACTTTGCTTACGATCAATGGCAAAGTGGTAATTGAGTCAATGACCAATTTTGTAATATCACATCTGCCGTAACTTCCTCTCAGGAAGGACAATACTGAACCACCCATAACTCTCTGGGAACACACACAGCCACACACCACACAGTCACACACACCCACACACAGTCAGTCAGTCAGTCAGTCAGTCAGTCAGTCAGTCAGTCAGTCAGCCACACACACACACACACACACACACACACACACACACACACACACACACACACACACACACACACACACACACACACACACATGCATCAAACTCATACAGACATCATCACACAAACTTTTTTTAATTAGTTTTATTCATTTTAATGTTTCTTTAACAATAATACCACAGAAATGCACCTTTAATGTTATTACATATGTTTACATATATATGATCTGAGGAAAAATAAATCATGTACACACAAATACACACTTACATTTATCCCTACAGAATAACCCAATGAAGCTTTAACATACAATATATCAGGAAACAATGCTTACAGCTGGTGACTGCTTACATTACAGTAAATGTCAATAATTTACTCAAAAGAATCCAATTAACTTAATTCCAGTCAGTATATATTTTATTAAGACATAAATGAGGTCAAACTTGTCCTTCATGTTTGTCCCTCACAGAACGGACTTGTCACTTCCTCAGGCTCCCTATGAAGGACAAACACATTGATTAATAGAGTCACATATTTTTATCGACATCTACATTATTTCAGTGTGCAGAATGTATTCTAATCTACAGTATTTCATTTTACATCCTAATTTTTTGAACAATTATTTTCCCTATTCCTGCAACTTACGTAAACCACTTTATTCTACTATGTTATGTTTTTGTAAAGTAAAGTACTGTATATAATTGAGGTTGTATTCTCGTAAAATACTTGACAGAATGATTCAGTGAACTAAATACCAATGTTTTAAGGAACTAAAGCAATACACTTTCACGTTGATTGTGCATAAATGGGTGTCGCTGCATTCGATGAGTACATTTCAACACTGACCTTAGTTGGGCAAGTTTCTTTCCTGTGAGAAATTAACAGACAAAAAGATTACTATGGTCTGTTGCAATAACATGCATCTCTATTTCAATGAAGCGCGATTGAGGAACACTCACTTTTTCTGCGTTTCATCCAGCAGAAGCAGAGGTAGCTTAGGACTGACAGCGCTGCACTCCCAGCTACAGCCAGCAGGGCCTGCTTGTAGTCTGGGGAAAAACACTCATTTTTATCCTAAGTCATACAATCGTAGACAGAACAATGTTTACTTTTCTAAACAGGGTTGCTACTACTACTACTACTACTACTACTACTACTACTACTACTACTACTACTACTACTACTACTTCTACCACTACTACTACTACTTATACTATTACAACTACTTCTACTACTACTACTACTACTACTACTACTTCTACTATTACTACTACTACTACTACTACTACTACTTCTACTATTACTACTTCTACTACTACTACTACTACTACTACTACTACTACTACTACTTCTACTATTACTACTTCTACTACTACTACTACTACTACTACTACTACTACTACTTCTACTATTACTACTTCTACTACTACTACTACTACTACTTATACTATTACTACTACTACTACTACTACTACTACTACTACTACTACTACTTCTACTACTACTACTACTACTACTACTACTACTACTACTATTACTACTGCTACTACTTCTACTACTGCTACTGCTACTACTACTACTACTACTACTACTACTACTACTTCTACTAATGCTACTACTGCTACTACAACTACTACTAATTATACTACTGCTACTACTGCTACTACTTCTACTACTGCTGTTTCTGCTGCATACATGTAAACAGTTGTGGAATTTAATGAAGTATAATTACTCAAGAACTGTTCTTAAATAGTATCAAGCCAGGTCACTCCACAGAAACTGCTCTCCTTGCTGTCTCTGAGGAACTGCACACTGCCAAAGCAGCCTCCCTCTCCTCTGTCATCATCCTTTTGGACCTGTCTGCTGCATTCAACACGGTGAATCATCAGATCCTCCTTCGAACTCTCCAAAAACTTGGAGTTTCAGGCACTGCACTTTCCCTCCTCACCTCATATCTCAAAGACCGTACCTACAGGGTAACTTGGAGAGGGTCCGAGTCCGACCCTTGTCAATTAACTACAGGGGTCCCTCAGGGCTCTGTTCTTGGTCCCCTCCTCTTCTCCTTGTACACAAACTCGCTCGGATCAGTCATTAGCCNGCTTAAAGCTGGTTGTGTGTGTGTGTGTGTGTGTGTGTGTGTGTGTGTGTGTGTGTGTGTGTGTGTGTGTGTGTGTGTGTGTGTGTGTGTGTGTGTGTGTGTACACTTCTGCCAGACACTCATCTTATTATCACACACACACACACACACACACACACACACACACACACACACACACACACACACACACACACACACACACACACACACACACACACAACCAGCTTTAAGCTGAACACATGTACAGACTTTTACTCTTTTCCCATGGTGCAAAGAAATGGATATTGAACAACCATTCTCTTCAACATTTACTTGGCAGTCATTTTAGTTTTTTGTTCAATTGTATTGTGAAATGTTATTGATAAATGTGCTGGTATTTATATGTTGATCCATGGTTTGATCTGTGTTTATCATTTTTACTAAGATGTGACTTTGTGTATGTGCTCTCCTGATGTTGTGTGTACTTACCCTGGGACTGCAGTGGGAAATCGGCTAATAGCTAAATTATTTTTTATATATGGTCCTTGTTTAATACAAGTATAATAATGATAAGAAGAAGAAGAAGAAGAAGAAAAAGAAGAAGAAAAAGAATGAGAAAAAAAGAAGACACACACACACAGCCTAACTAAATATCTCAGATAAAGGTATTCCCCTTGCATGCAAACACACACACACACGCACGCCCTCTCTCATTGTTCCTGCCCTGTCTTCAGACAGACTGCAGCTCTAGTGGACATGCACAGAGATCTTGTTTCTGGATCAGGTTAACCTGGATCTTTTGTCACACACACACACACACACACACACACACACACACACACACACACACACACACACACACACACACACACACACACACACACACACACACACACACACACACACACACACACACACACACACACACACACACACACACACACACACACACACACACACACACACACACACACACACACACACACACACACACACACACACACACACACACACACGTACACACGACTACACGACGTCGTACGTACGTACGTACGTACGTACGTACGTACCGTACCGTACGTACGTACGTACGTACGTACGTACGTACGTACGTACGTACGTACGTACGTACGTACGACGACGACGACGACGACGTACGTACGTACGTACGTACGTACGACAC